ACCATCGGCCTATAAGACATACTTTACCATCTGATGATTGTTGTGTGTCAGCAATGATCATTGACAATTATGTAAAGAAAGGGTGGACCTACCTAACATCCAATGGTCCTGTCCAAAGGTCCATTGGACAATATCGCAATAATAATACTGATGACCAGTGCGAGACCATGCTGCTCAGCGCTGACTTAGAGGAATGGTTGTGGGCAATCCGACGGGCCAAGGATGCCGCCAGGGCCCAAGGCGTAGGCTAATGCTTAGGCATGGGACCTGCACCACTCATGTCACCGCACTTCTAAAATAAAAGTGAAGTTTTTTCCTCCTCCTCCTCCTCCTAGGCTTTTTGGAGCTGTTCGTGTAGCCGCACCACAGCCAGCTCATTATGGTTATGATTTGCAACAAAACTGATTTACAAGACTTCTGTGTAAGCAATCCACAGCGATACTTGCGACACTGACGCGGTTTTACCTTTCTCAATTAGGTGCACGACGTCCTAAAACACTAAGTGCCTACCCACACTCCGCATGTTCTATATGCGAGTGAAAGCGTATGAGCATGGCTCAAGCAGAAATGTGTCAGCCGTCTAACTTGAGTGAAAGATGCAAAAAGATGAGCACCATTTGGGGGAAGGGGGGATGTGAATTCTGTAAGAAATGCGTACTGTGTACAACCGGTAGTCATCATCGATGGAGTTACTCTGTATCCTACAAACGTGCAACTCAGCTAGCTAAAAGTAGCTTGTACAGTAACTCTAGTCGCCCGGCCGATAATCTGAGGGGATCAACAGACAGCTTATAGCTTAGTCAATTTTGGGATCTGACCAAAAGTAAGTTTATATTCAAGCCATATAAAATTAAATAGATAAGACGGCAAAAATGATGCGGCGTCAGGCCCAAAGGCATGCCGTATTAGCAGAAGGTATGGCAGGGAAAGTTTTGGAGTGCTTTTGATTCTTTTTCCTCCGCACATGAACCCTAGCTGAGAAAACAACTTTGTATGTATTCTTGTTCTGTTTTTTGCTAGACTTCGAGAGCTGGCTTTACATGTTCCACTTACGTTTATGCATGATTAGGCGTGTACCACAATCAGTTACACAAAAGCAAGTGTGTCTTGAGAGTAATCTTGGTTTGTTGCATAAATCAATCATATAAATTTTTTTAAATATATTTCACGTTTTAAAGTACTTCAGGTATTTTACTCACTGAGCCACAAGCCTAGGGTATTGGTCTAATAGCTCTAGAGCTATTTAAATCCTACTTATCACATTGAGCACAATATATAGAGCTACAAAAAATAGTCCAGTTTTTAAACTGTGAGTGCCGGAGTACTACAGGGAATCATTCCTTGCTCATGCTGTTTGTAAATTACATGCCAAACAGTTAAAAACAAGTAAAACCTATTTCCAGTTCGTATCATGTTTATCACTGTACATCAGTGTTCATCACAAAATGTGTTTGTCCCCGTACATCAGTGTTCATCACAAAATGTGTTTGTCACTGTACATCAGTGTTCATCACAAAATGTGTTTATCACTGTACATCACAAAATGATCTCGATCTATAAGGATGCAATACTCTAAAGAATCTAAACAGTGGACTGAAGCAGTTCAGTAAGCCCGTGTCACGGCGCTGAGGCCTGGCCTTGACAGTCCCCGGTGAACGGCCTAAACCCACGTCGCACTAAATATTGCCAAATTTTCAATAAAGTTGTCTCCATCCTGCCCCACGAGCTGTTTGCAAGTAAATGCCTGCAATACTAAAGTAATGGTGTTTACACAAGAACACAAACAATCATGCCCTACTTCAATAAAACGAAAATACGTTCACAGGATTTAGAAATTAATCACAGTCTTCACAATAGGCGTAGCATTTTCTAGATACATCTGTTGCGATCACGTCGAACACCTGAGCAAAAATTTATCGCTACGTGAAGCCATAACTCTCTTGAAATATTTTCTCCTAGATAAAATTGAAATATTGCTTCACGATGTCATTGTGTTCTGAATTCCCCAATATTCTAAACTTGTAAGGGGCATATCTCCCTATTTCAAATTGTTTCATGCGCTTTCACGACATTTGCATGATACCACAGTTTAGCACTTGTAACCGCGCAAAATGCTGTATGTTGCTAGTTCACAATGTTACGTGCGATTTCATTACGTTTCAATGATATCACAGTTTTGCACTTGTAGCGTTTCAAAACGCTGTATCTTGCTAGCTCCATTGTTTCATGCGCTTTGACGACATTTGCATGAAATTGCAGTTTCAAACTTGTAGTGCTAAAAATCTGCATCTAGAAAGTTCGCATTGTTTCATGAGGATTCACGACAGTTTCATGCGCTTTCACGACGTTTGCATATCACAGTTGCACACTTGTAATGGTGCAAAACGCTGCATCTCGCCAGTTGAGATCGTTTCAGGTAGTTTCACGATGCTTGCATGAGATTGCAGTATCGCACTTTAGCGATGCTAAACGCTGTATCTCGCTAGTTCACATTTTCATACGCTTTCACGACATATGCATGATATGCATATGATATCATATGCGATATATGCATGGTGGTTCAGTTTCTATCTTGCACGCCGAGAACAATATGTTCAACTAGGGCACCACTAATTTCGTTTATTGACTGTGGTATCTGGGGTGCTCCAGGGTAGTGTCTTGGGGCCCCTCTTGTTCCTGGTGTTTATAAACGATCTGCCAAAAACATTACTACCCAAATAAGAATGTTTGCTGACGATTGCATACTATACAAAAATGTACAGTCACCGAGTGACCAGGCCGAACTTAATCCTAACTTAGAGAGAATTAAAAACTGGTGCGATCAGTGGCAAATGCAGCTCAACCCAACAAAAACTTCTTCTATGTCCATTTCTAGAAAAAACATTCTTAGTTATCCGTACAGCATTAACGGTCACGAACTTGCTCAGGCTAAGCAATATAAATACCTAGGTCTCATATTTACACCCGACATGCGTTGGAATCTTCATGTTGACGAACTTTGTTCCAAAGCTAACAAGGTGTTATGAGGCCTGAGACGTAACCTCCACTGTGCCTCTCCCGAAGTTAAAACTTTAACTTATAAAACTTTGCTAAGACCCATAATCGAATATGCTGAAAAGTGTGGGATCCCAAACTAACTGTTCGAAACTTGACAAAATACAGCGACTTAGTTCTAGGTTTATATTTAATAAATACCGTCGTTTCCATTCACCTACCGAATTATGCAAATTTTCAGAGCTCCTACCTCTACGAAAACGCACCGAATATGAAAGGCTGAAATTCCTTTTCATGATAGTTCATAATCACGTTAAAATGAGCTACGGTAGGTACTTTGGTAGCAAAACACAAGAAACGTCAAGGCACAGACACAGTATGTACATACCGCCCCTCAAAGTTCATAAAGACTGTTTCAGGTACAGCTTCTTCCCCAGGGCGATTCAGCAGTGGAATTCGTTACCAGATTCGGTTGTGAAAATCAAATCGCTTACTGACTTTTTAGAAGCAATAAAACATATAGTGCACTCTTATACCATGTGCTAAGATTGTGAATATGTGTGAATTACGTGCTTTGTAACTAGGCTATGATATTTATTATGTGTTTTATTATGCGCAAATTATGATGTGTATTTCGGCAGTGATGCTCTCTTTCCTTATTTTTCACTAACTTCTCTGTAAACTATATGCTTAGCCATCATAATATATTTGTTGTATGCGCTCTGAAATGATTTGTTCCAGTAGTGAAGGTTCTTTTTCTTATGTTTCTCTTATGCACATTTATGTTTTATATCAGTCAACTCCACTCCTGTATTAGCCCGCAAAGGGCTGACAGTATCAATAAATGAAATGAAATATCGCTGTTTCACACTTGTGACGGCACAAAACGCTGTATCTAGCTAGTTTTCATTGTTTCGTGCGGATTCACGAACCATACATGGTATTGCAGTTTCACTGTTGTAGTGCTACAAAACGTTGTATCTCGCTAGTTGAGATCCTAGTGTGCGGTTTCACGACGCTTCCTAACATAACCTAGCCGAAACTAACCTTCGCACTTCTAACGTATCTGGCTAGTTGACATCGTTTCGTGCGGCTTTGCGACGCTTTCAAGCGCTTTTCCATTTGATATCGCGATTTCGCACTTGTAACCGTATATACCTCACTAGTTGACATTGTCTCGTGCGGTTTCACATTTCGTGACATTATATCACAGTTTCGACTTTACCGAAACAAAACACTATCTCGCTAGTTACTAGCTCATTTTCAATTAGATACCTGTCCCTAAGGTTTGCTATTCTAGCAGCATTTTTATGCGACTGTCACTTGATTTTTACCTACTAGTCATCCTGAAAAACCAATATTTTATTGCATTTTCACTGGCTGATCTTACTGTAAACCACAGCATCCGTCATACTGGACACACAAAAAGTGGCATGTTCCGACAGCTACAAAAAATAATACAATCATTAACACACTGTTCCCATCTTACTTAATAAACTACCAAAGAACTTCATCCTTGGCGCAATCCTAATTACACAGTAAGACTATTTTTGTCAGTCGAGCCCTAGAGAGGACTAATGACCAATATATATATATATATATATATATATATATATATATATATATATATATATATATATATATATATATATATATATATATATACATATATATATTTTACTAGCGTTCAAATCACGTGAAACGTTTTAGCAAAAACAATATGGCCATGTGTGCATATATCTGTGTATTACAAATGTAAATGTATGTATTTGCAGAGTAGATTTCAGTTTAGGTGCAGCTTTTCATTTGTGTTCCTATTAATATGTGTGTATACATATTTCGTGTTTCTTGACTAATATAGCATTTTGTGGCCCGTATCAAGTTATTTTGAAGTTATATTTCTGCAATGAGCTACTGCCGTTCTTAAAACGGAGCAGGACCCTCCTCATGTTGCATTTGTTTTTATTCTTTTTCAATGTGAAAAAAAATATTGATTACTGATTTATTTCATACGGTAGGAATGACTGGTCTCTTTGGACAATGGTTCTCTTCGTAATTGTGAGAACATAAACAACTGGAAAAAACAACGCAGTGACATGAATGACTTCATTGCACAAAATACGAAACTTAAAACAATCTAAATTCACACAAAACATCAACGTTCTCAAATAATGGAGCGTTTTCGTAGAAGACCTAGCGCGAGAAATAAACACATAAATGCATCAAAACGCGATAAACGTGTTTCATTTCCCAAGCCGGGTTCACTGGAGGTCCACTGTGCGTGGCGTGGAGACAGCATCAAGGCAGTCCTCGCCCACCATGTCGGGAACCGTATCCGAGGACATCAGAGACCTGCATTGGATGAAACCTGCTTCAGCATGTCTGTCGTCCAATTACACTGCTGTGATAATGAAAACCTAATCACCCTGAAATATGCAAGAGAGGTATTTTACACGCTGGGATTTTCCTTGTTCGTTTTCTTCGCTTGTTAAGAATATTTTCAGTTTGCACAATGGCGTTAAATATTTGTATACTCCCTCGGTGACGACACTCTGAAGGCGCAATCGAAGATAACAACGCCGAGCACCCGTCGGAGTGCTGAAGGCATCGGGTACCTATCGGCGGAATGACGCAAGTTCAAGACAAAACAAAAATCACAGCATATTCACGGAGTGAATGTGCTGAGTAGGGCGAAACGTTCATCAGTCCGTCCGTGATTCCATCCACCCGTTTCTTAGTACTTGTGTCCATCCGTTCCTCCCTGCGTCCATAATTCCTCCGTTCTTGCGTACGTCCATCCATCCGTGCGTTCATGCGTCTGTCTGTCCGTGCGTGTATCCATCTGTGCGTCCATTCATGCATTCATGCATCCGTTCATCTAGTGAACCCTTAAGTACCGTCATCTCACATTTTTTCATCATATACTCATCATATACAAGCACCGCTCCAGCCGACTTTCCAATGACTAAACGAGAGGTAGCTACGAACTGCTACGACGACGACTACTAAAACTAATGCTTACATCGAGGACGCATGACCTACGGCTTCAGGAGCTTTGCCCCTAAAAATTACACCAACTTCTGCTAAAGGAACAATGTGCAGATGTGAAGCAGCGGATCCTAACGCTTACCGGCAGCGCTGACACTGGCGCTCATCGCGGCGTTGTGCAGGAGAGAAACCTGGGCAAACGCGAAGCACGCAGTGATAGACCGGTATTTTCTACTGGAACATGTCAATCGCTGCTGATGGGCTATAAGAGACCGGAGACTCCGATTGGACACAAATACCTTCAGTCTCTTTCAGTTAACGAGCATACTGCGAATTTTTAAGGGCGAAGCTTCTTAATTCATGGTTCATGCGTCCCCGATGTATGTAGTAATAAGAGTAGCAGTAGTAGTAGTCGCAGTAGTAGTAGGTTGCCACCTCTCGTACAGTTTACTGGATGGCGGTACTTCGATATGATAAACATATTATGAAAAGATGCAAAATGGCGGTACTTGGTGTGTTCACTAGATAGACAGACGGGTTCACGGACGGACAGAGAGGCAAGCAGACGGAAGGACGGACAGACGAACGGACTGACAGACGCATGAGCAGACGTATGGACTGACAGACGCACGGAAGAACGGACGCACCGTTCGTTCCCATGAACGCAGGGATGGACGAAGGGACAGACACACGGACGAACGCAGAGACAGGCACACGAATGAACGGACGCACGGACGGACGAATGGACGGAAGCAAGAACGAGCGGAGGGAAGCACGGACGCACTGACCGACGCTTGGCCCTACTCATCATCATTCACTCCGTGGATATGCTGTATTTTTTGTTGCTTAAGCTTGATTCACACGCGAGGGTGAAATCCCGCTGCTCCGTGGACTGAATGGTCACGAGATTAGTTTAATCCAGTGAAGCACTGGACACGTCGCATGCACACAGCTGGAGCTACACCCGCCGAATCCTCGTGCGTACTCTCGACTCCTATGCTTATGCAGCGCGCCTGCGCGACGCTTTCCGCAGTGTTTATGCCGGGTTCAAGAGTGCATTCCAATATGTATGAACGCTTAAAAGGACGTTTGCACGCGTTTGCTGTTCTACCTGAAGTGAGTGAAGACGACGTGATGCAGGTTGAAAAAAGGAAAAAAAAAGCAAACGACAGAGTTGCAGACGAAGCCATGAATCTCCAAGAAAACGCTTGTTATTCAGACATTACTTTATGAAAAGATACACCAGTGTGATCCATAGGAGTACAAATGCCTGCTGTGCGTCAGCCTGTTGCGCAGCTACGAATTTGCATAGTCCGAGTGCTCGTTGTTCCACAGCGCTGGGAATCCTTCAAAGAGGGAAAGAATAGTGATGGCCGCCTCGTCAAAATTTTTTTCACTGCACTCACGTTTGTGGTGACGCAGGCCACGCGCTGTGAACAAAAACCACCAAATCCACCACCAAAAATGCCTTGCCTCTTCCACTGTCACGCGAAACGCATTCGATCATCACCGCAAAACTAAAACACATGGCTTTTAAGCCAGCTGCCTGCTTCCTAGCCACGCACGTCCGACCAATGTTGACATATTTGACGCTGAATCCTCTCAATCGAGAGCAGACTACCGTCGAACAGAGGGATCGAAATAGCGGCGACACATTTCTATTCGTGCAGCGAGCAGAGTAGAGCGGATAAAGCCAGGATGGCACGTTTCGATTACGCGCACGGCACGTGATGCGCCAACCGTTGCGGAAATCCCTCCTCCGTTTCCTCGTGTGAATCCGCCTTCAACAACGCACATATCTGCCACCGGCACTACCTTGGAGGCCAAGATCCAGTGCCTATATATACGGGGTGGCCCATGAACAGTTGTGCAGCGCGATCAATCGGTTTTTATTACGATAACAATTATATAAGAAGTATTGAAAATTGGAGAAGTTGGTAAAGATTCATAGCTTGTCGAGGTAAACAGTGAAATAAACAAAGACATAGTACAGGAAAGACAAAATACAATATCTATTGTACTAGAAACGGCACTCAGTAGTGTAAAAAACTGGGCAAGTCGGTAACAATTCATAGCTGGTTGAGGTAAACAGCGCAGAAACAGAGTAAAGGCAGGACACAAAACAAGCGCTGATGCAAAAGAAATGACACTGAGTAGTATCACTCTATCTTACTTATTGGCGCTGTTTACCTCGACCAGCTATGAATTGTTACCAACTTGCCCAGTTTTCAATACTACTCAGTGCCATTTCTAGTACGCCAGCACTTGTCTTGTGTCCTTCCTTTGCTTTGCTAACGTTTTTGCGCTTTTTACCTCAACCAGCAATAGTATACACACTCTCGGCTGAATTTTGCTGCCGGCGTTGGCGTCGCCGTCATTCATCGCATACGTATACGTATCTAAATTGTTAAGCGCCGCTCACCAGGAGGACGAAGAAGTGAAGGACTAGCTGGTGCCTGCTCTCACCATAAGCCTTTAGCTTAAGATCCTGCCACCCGGTTCTTGGCTCATCCCCCGTTGTTACTGTGCGCCAGTGTTACAAAGATCATCATCATCAACTCGCCATCTTGGTTGTGCATGCCTGCACAGCTGTGGATTGTAAATATTGTTAATACAGAAGCGTACGCATTTGGGCTGGTTGGTTCATGTTCACGCCCGTTGTTAATACGCCCGTTTTCTGTCATCCCCCCCCCCCCAGTAACATCATTGGTAGAAGGTGCGGGGTACTTACTTACTTCACGCAAGACGAAATTTCTCAGCGGGCGTCTTCTTGAACAGTTTATCGTGTTGACAGAAAATTTCGTCCATCCAGCTCCCGCTATGCCGAATTGACCGAGCCATGTTGTTCTGACCCACCCCCGAGACCCTAGCCCCTTCTGCGTGACTGATAAAGTGCACGTGGAGAAGTGGCTGGCAGACTACGAGCGCGCCAGCAAGACAAATCGCTTTGTGACGTCCCCGCAAACACGGACTGAACCCCGGTCCTTTCAAGATGTTTTCGCTCGTTTCTCAAACCCCCGCATAAAAAAAAGAAAATAAAACCTTCGGTGTAACGAATGGGCATTCCGGAGTGAAGTACCACAAGAATTATTTCTACTATTCTCACGGGCTCTCCCGCGCAAACACGAGGACCGGGCGGCGCCTTGTCGTCTACAGACCGTGTGACAGTGTACGGTGGAGATAATCCGCGCGCACCCTTCAGATTTTTGGCATGGGGAGCAGCCGAGCACCTTTTGTTGGTTCGGGGAATGTGACGCGGCCGCAGCGCCTGTGCCAGGTCCAGTATGACTTTCCGTCAGCCTCCGTGGCTCCAGGGCTCATTACTGCGTTCTGTGCGGATGGCCGCCCGCGGCGGTGAATGACGAAGAAGTGGCGGCTACGGAGAACTTTGCGGGAGACACCGAGTTGCATAGAAACGTTGAGACTTGGTCTGGACGTCGGCTCACCAAGCACCGGAAGCGTCGGGACCATTGTTGGAGCGTAATTAAAGTGTCTTGGGACATCTCGCCCATCTCTCTCTGAGGCTCGAGTTTGTACATTGTTACTTGCTCGGCTTTGTTTGGGAGAGGGTTTTCTACTGGTGTAGGCCGCGGGGGCTGCCGCCGAAGATGATACACTCCGACTGAGAAAAAAATATATGCCGCGTGGACAGCGGCGATTGGTTTGGTGCCCCGGGAGGACAGAGTCGGAACCCGAGACAAGCGGCCACGTGTCAATGAAGGGGAAAGGCGAGGAGAGTCTTTCCCAGGGGACGTCTGAAGTGGTGGCAGCGGTGGGATTACTGCTGGGGCAACGGTGCGAGATTTCACCCTCGTACTAGGGAAGGAGAGGCGGCAAAATGAATGAGCAGACTACCAAGATGACCGACAGAGACGACCCACTAGAAATGAGCGCAATAATGTTAGCGAACATGGTTCCATCGTTTACGGGAGGTGATACGGAACTGGATATTGGGGTCTTCTTGAAAGTTTTAGAGCAAGTTGGTCGCTTGGGTGGATGGCGGGATAGTGAGCTGGTCTGCATAGCACGATGCAAGATGATAGGTGCGGCGCACGATTTTGCGTGGTGGGATGATGGCGTCGCTGCGGCTGCGACTTTTTCTGAGTTCAAATATTTGGTCCTCAAGAGGTTCGATACGTAGCCACTCATTTTTAAAACGGAACGGTTTTTAAACACGAGGCAGAAGACAGATGAGGCGGTGAGGTCATTTGCAAGTCCCTTGCGCATCCTCGGGACTGCCATCCTGGCGAGCTCCAATAGTCAGGATCCGGGGAAAGCTTCACTGCGCCGCAAAATTCTAGTTGAACAATTGCTCTTGCAATTTTTATTAGGCCTGAGGGATCCGGTCCGCAGATTTGTTCTCT